CCTGCCGAAATGCTGACCTGAAAGTGTCAAAATTCCGATTTCTGTGCTTATTGCGAAGTGTCTGTATCGTTTGGTATGGGCATCCATTTCCATTACTGCGAGCTGGGCTCGTGGCAACTCCAATAGTTGGCATCCTTTGTTCCCTTTGCCATGGCTTCCTATGTGTTTCAATTTCTCTGTGGTGACTCATTGAGCAAGGGAGGATCCAAAGGATCCAACCCACCGGCACCTGTTTTGTCACTGCCGGCTTCGGTGGAGGAGCCACATCCTCAACCACGGCCGAGACCAGCCCGGTCGCATCGAGGACGATATGGCTCCAGATCGCCCTCACGGCGTCGTGAAGCAATGTCCCGAGAGAGATCAAGGAGACATCGGCGAAGCCGAACACCCACCAGGGACAGGAAAGGAGGGAAGCACCAATATATCCACCGGGCAATTGGCGAGCACCGACGCCTTGGGTTCCTCCACCAAGGCCAGTCCTGCCGCCGCCTTCTGCACCACCGCCTCCACATCATGCTCCCCCGGGGAATGTGTCAGCATACTGGTTTCCACCACCGCCGCCTTTGCCACCACCTTTTGCTACACCTTTTGCGGCTCCGGATTTAAGGCGACCGGCTGCGCCTCTTACACCGCCGAGGCTAGCCAGGCCCAATAAAGCACCGGAACCGGTGGTACCTCAGGCGAGAGCCCCAGCAGCTGATCGCAAGCAGGCAAAGCCGGCCAAGAAAGGGTCAACAGCCTCCAATCAGCTGGCTCCATCGGATAGCCAGCAACAGATTGATGATCAATTTTTTCGGGGCCTCATGTCTGCCAATATCAATGATGTGGAGGACCAGCTGGAAATCCAGCTGCCAGGATTTTCAGCAGTGGATCATATTCCGGGTGGGATGACCACCCTGAGTCAATACCTCTTTTATCGTCAGCAACTTTTGACTGCACCGTTTCCGGATCAATGGCCTGGCAAGCACTGCGAAGCAATGCAGCCCGGGCGGCACTGGTTCGCAAGTACAAGCGCCCTTTTTCGTTTCTCAAAGACCCTGAGAGACAAAGATGTGCTCGGTTCTTGCTTAGTTTGTTTCCAGAGCCGGTGCCACCGAACACCATAGGCAAAGAAGAATTTTTCGGCTTCGTTGACTGCATTTCGCAGTCCAGACTCCTCTATGAGAGGCACTTCGAAGAAGGTGCCTCACTGTTTCATGATGTGGAAGAAAATGTAGTTGGATACCGTTTCAGGTGTACAGGTTTTCCCTGCCCACCCCTGGCCCAGCAAAACTGGCATCTCTGGGCACACGCCACTACCAGGGAAGGGGTCACGGGAATTTTGACTACAGGCAAGATCCTACCTACGGATCACAGTGTAGCTGGCCTTGAACCTCAAGAGGATACGTTTTCCTTCTACGGCAGAAGTACAACAAACCCCAACTGGGGTGCAGGAGTTGTACAGCTCGCCTGCAAATGTTACCACTCAACTAAGAACTGTTCTGGAGTGGTTTTTGCAGGCTTATTGCCCAGCAACCACATTAGGGGCAAGAATGCATGCACCAGATATGAGAACAATCTGGCGAGATTTCATGCTTTGGTCCACAGCTGTTCTTCGGACAGACGGTGGGCAATTCGGTTCGCGGCAGCTCGCATTGATTTTGTCTTTGTTCTTTCAGAACGAAGCAAAGCTGACTATCCTCAGCATGAGAGCCGACAGCGCCGTAGAACTAGACCCAAAGCTGTCGGCAACGAGCCTACTTTGGCTTTGGCAGATGGCCCTCCAGACGACAGCTGGGGCCCATGGGGTAATCCTGAAACCCCTAAGATAGAGCTGCCAGATGTAGAAGATCCTGAGGAAGAGAACCTCATGGCAGCAGCGGCAGCTTTTTCAGCTGCTTCAGTTGCAAGCTGATTTAATTCGTAAAGCAAGAAAAGATACTGGACGGTGATTGTGTGCACTGCTGAATGTTGCAATACCCTGCATATGCAAAGCTATGTCAGGATAGATCGCCAGCTGTGAGAGAGCTTTTGGCTCCTATGCTGCCAGTCGTGTGTGGTAGCCATGGATCAAGCTGTTGCGCATCGGCAGCCTTCACCTGTTTCGTCGACTTCTTCGTGGCATTCTGCTTTTGATGCAACATCTGAACCCGTTTCCAAAAAGTGCAAGAATCGTCCTAAGGACGATGATGGTACAAAGAAGAAGAAGAAAAAGAAACAGAAGAAGAAGTCCAAAAAGACTTCCAAGCCTTTGACTGCGATTTCTTCACGAACCCCAGAGGCTCCAAACTTTTTCGATCCCATTTTGGAAGTTATGTACCCCCTGCCGGGGTCCATCAAGCCACCTGATGATGTGCCACAACCTTACCAGTTTCGTGGCGAAGCAGCTGCCAAGATGCAGGCCCGCAGTGGCTACAGGTGCTCCTGCCACTATGTTTTGAAGCATCTGTGCCCTGTCAAACTCATCCAAGATGAGTTCGGGCCACCCAAGCCGTGAAGACTTTTCTGAGCAGATGCGAGA